TCGTTTCAGCCCTACATCAGTCCAAAAGAAGTTAAATAAAGCGCATCCATCCATAATAAAAAAGTGCCTCACACGGCTCCGAGGGGTGAACAAAGGCCTCCTGTAGTGAATCTATGCATTTTTGTAAGAAAAATAACCATATTTAAAATTTAATAATCAATTTAATCTAGCTTGCGCTCACTGTTGTAAACGGAAGCAGTTCCGGGCGGATGACGTACTCGGAAGTGACGAACGCGGAAGCGCAGAGGAGAGATCAAAACAAAACAACGGTCACGAATTAGAAGTACAAAATGAGGATTTGTAAAGAAGAATGTCGGAGGATATAAATATAAGCCAAGAGGAGACTGGTTTTCCTTTGCTAAAGTAAAGAAATTTTGCTTCCTTTTCTACTGTAAACAAATGTATGTTTTCACGAAACTCACTGGCGCATGCGCAATGTCGACATCTTACGTCATCCTCCCGGAGCTGCTTCTGTGTACAACTGTTGGCGCAAGCTAGATTAAAGTGATTATTACATTTTGAATCTGGATATTTTTTTTTTACAAAAACGCATAGATTCGCTACAGGAGGCCTTTATTCACCCCCCGGAGCCGTGTGAGGCACTTTTTACTATGGATGGATGCGCTTTATTTCACTTCTTTTGGACTGATGAACTGCAACACCCGCTGACTGCCATTAAACAGCTTGGAAGATCAAAGACAATTTTTAATATAACTCCGATTGGATTCATCTGGCAGAAAGGAAGACATATACGCCTAGGATGGCTTGAGGGTGAGTAAATAATGGGCTAATTTTCATTTTTGGGTGAAGTAACTCTTTACGTTTTGAAAATGAATATGCAGCTTTACACATCCTTAGTACTTAGAATCCTTACAAAATTATGAAATAAATACACATTTTAACATTTTTAACACAAAAGAGTTTTTGTTACATCAGACTGTGCTTCAAGCATCTGAGGGTCTCTTCTAATCTGTCTGGCTTGGATCCTAATCATCAATAAAAAAAAAAATGACACGCACTCTCATTAGTGAGAATCCAGTGGAGCACAGAAAATAAGAACCCAGATTTACGCCCATATCTTTCAATAGCCACATTAAGACATTAAAAAGCCCTGCCATGAAAACCACCCTTTTGGTCTAGAAAGCTTCCATACTGTACAGAAAGTACCTGTGTAAGTCCCAGCTGATCAAAATGTACCTTCTGCAACCAAGTTGGCAACCTGTGTACTCAATATGGGAAGACTTAAGGGTGGATGTTTGCTGTGTGATATTGAGGACTTTTATAGTGCATATTTAAACATGTAAACCATGTTTGTTTGTGCCTAAACTTTATAAGTAGTACACATTTTGAGTCTCACCCACCAGAATGGCAGATAATATGGCCACAGCTGCTTGGTTCTTCTCACATGGCGGGATTTGTATACAGTACGTGAACTCATTCAGGGATCTGCAGCAGATCTGCAAATCATCATTGTGGCAACAATGCTGTTTCCAGATCTCTGTAGGGCTTTAGATCCTCACGTTCCCCTGAGACAGCAAGTGTAGGGTCCAATTCTGTGGTTGCCACAGCAACGCAGCTAACCTTTTCTCAATCCACTCCATCACCTCTGAAGAGAGCAATGCAGCACTCAGACACCTCACACTACCTAAACACTTCTTATATAAGTGCATTACGAAGTTAGCTGTGGTGAGAACTGCAGTGTAATGGAAAGAGAATGTTCCCTCTAGGTGAAACAGCAGGGTCCATTTCTTATATCTCGTTTACCCTGTGCTTTAAGAGGAGCCGGGTTAAGGTGGCATTTTAAGGTTCGGATTTCAAGTCTGAATGTCTAACAAAGAACTCAAGTGTTTATCAAATTGGTATGCTATAGTGCACAAACTAAAAGGGCTATTTTCAAGTCTACCACTCGATTACACCAAAGCAGCTTCAAAAGGCAGCAATTAACAGAGCTTACAAATCAAAATAAAAGAGGGCTCAGCACATAGCCCTGATGTACCTCAAACCTTACACATAAATGCAAAACATTTCCGTGTTCTGAGTGAGTTGTATAACTATAGGCCAAGTTTGAATAAACATAACAAAATACACTCACTGGGTATAGATTAACCAGAAACATTTTCTTCAAGGAAAATGTATTTGCTGCACAAAAATTGGTTGAATACCTTGCCAATGTGATCAGCTGTTACTGTAAAAAAAAAAAACACTATTAAAAATAAATTTCGGCAATTGAAATAAACCTGAAATTAAATAAAAATAAAATAAATGAAAAATAATTAGAAAACCAAATTAGAAAAAATAAAACTAGAAATGTTGCCTTAGTTGACAACTAACTGAAAGAAATAATTTAAAGCTCAAGTACAAAAATTACTACAACTAAAATTAAAATGAAAACTGAAAGCATAAAAAGTTAATTCAAAATATTTATAAAGACTATAATAGCATATAAATACTACTAAAATAACACAATGTGATAATGTTCACAAATCAGCCTGAATTGGTCAAACTGGTGAGAAAAAGACTAAATTAAAGATGAACATCAGTGACTGCAACATTTCATGACAGTGAAAACATTCACGCAAAAGAATGTGAGTCGTGACTATTAATAATAAAACAAATACTATGTAATAATATTAAAAAACTAAATAAAATAAAATAACAAATGCATTAACAAATTAAAAAATGTTTAAAAAAAACATACTTGATGGGACCTTCTATGCTGCCTTGATTTAATAAATAGAACATTAACATAAACGTATATAATTTTAGCTGCTTGTTGAATTTGTCCCAAGTGTTTACTAAATGCTGCTTTATCGGCTTTGTATACAGGAAAACTGCGAAACATCAAATGGAAATGGAAGTTGAATTTCACCAAAAAAAATCCCATAGTCAGAACAAGGACTACTTTGCCAAGTCCGTCACCCACCGCTGAGATTATGATAATTTTCATAAATGCGCTCCTCAAACAAACAGACCAATTGGGGGTTGCTTTTTATAAACAGTCTACAGGCTGCTTTGTTCACCTGTGCGAAACAAGCTTGATTATCCACACATGCTCTGGTCACCATCTGTAAAATGACTGCATGGCTAGCGGCTCTAACCACAGATCTGTCTTTCTCTGTGAAATATGACATGCTATTCTGCGGCGATCAGATCAACAGCCTGAGGGGGGAGTTCAATGTGGCAGCTCTTTTCAGAAGTCACACACTAGAGAACAACAAACAATCTACTTTATAATGGAAAACATGCATAAACATGTTTAGGCACCGAGATATGAGATAAGAGAGAGAGAGAGAGAGAGAGAAAAAGACTGATCAGCCTCTAGACATGTTACGAGAGAGAGAGAGAGAGAGAGAGAGAGAGAAAGAGAGAGAGAAAGACTGATCAGCCTCTAGACATGTTACTGAACACTGAAAACCATTAAAGCAATATGGCAGGTAAGAAAGGACAAAATTAGCACATGTATAAATAATTATTTTTATCTTTTTTGTTTGACGATAAACAGTTTTTCGATAAGCAGCAACCGGATGGATATGCTCTGGGTGCTCGTTGGGCAGATGTGTGTTAACGAGAAAGCAACTGTGCGAGTCTCGTGCCAGTGTCCAGCTGTTGTCATTCCCACAGGGGTCTGAAAAAGAAGCTTGGACAGACAATCTCTGTTCATGTTCTCCATAATTACTGCACTCACATCCCACAATCCAGCTCACACAGCCAACTATGAACCTCTCAAACTATAACAATGAACTTTTGATCCAACAATCAGACACTGACTCAACGAGCATGGAACAAAATAAAAACATATGGACTTCCTTCAGTCATATTTCCAATAAAGTGCAAATGGGTCACCCCATGCTGAATAAAAGCAGTTTGGATTTAAACTGAAATCCTAACATTTATAAAATCTAAATTAAAAAAATTGTGGTTGAGCGATTGCCAATTATTGCATGATCTAAAACTAGTTTTAGTGGGGGGGGGGG